AGCGTGAGGTTTTCAGCTGTAAAAAGAATATATTTACAACGGGTTATTTCAATATTAACCAAAATACATAAAATTGTTTTGATTGCGCGTTGTTTTCAGGCACAACCAGTAGAGTTATAAATTTATTCAGGGAAGAGCAAAACGAGCCTACTTGTATTTATTCTACTAACCGCCCTGAGCGCTTATTAAATTTTTGGACCTTGAGAGTGGGCGCTTATTCGAGTTGGGCGCTTATTCGCGGCTGGGCGCTTATTAAATTTGTACCCTTTTTCAGCAGGCGTAGCCTATTTATTTTGAAACAAAACGATATATAGTTAGTAATAACAAAACGCGAAGACGTATATAACAAAGCAAGGTTTCTGTAAAATACACTGACGAAAATTCCCTCTTCGGGAAAGTCTCTTATTAGTACTAATTTAATTCTAATTTCAATCTCATTAAGTGTGTCTCATAAGTGAATTATCTGGTGCTGCCTCCTCGATGTCCGAAATCATAACGTTGGCAAATGGGTGAGTCGCCCGAGAAGCAGATACAGCTTATTTGAGTTTGAGTGGAAGGGGGAGGAGGGTGGGGTGGGGGTAGGCGCTTAGTCGAGGCTCATTAACTTTTTTCTGCCTTTAGGATGGGCGCTTATTCGAGGTGGGCGCTAATTCGAGGTTGGGCGCTTATTTGAATATATACGGTCAGTTTGCTGAATAGGCGATTACAACGGTTTGTTCTATGGGGCAAAAAGGATTGTCTAGTTTGATTGTTGATGTATTAAACCAACGAATATGAAGAGAATTAAAACCCATAAAATAACAATAAATCGGCACGATTGTGGACCACACAGGAAAGAAGAAGGACACAACTTGAGTAGGGCTAGCCGTTTTTATATTTATATTTGTAGGTTTCAGAAATTATCACTTCTTCCCTATACAAACCCTTACTCGGACGGTCAGGACGCAATAACATTCCCGACCGACGCTCATGATGATCTAGCTTGGTTGACCTGTGTTTGTTGATGACAGAACTTGCCATGCCTCAAAACATTCAAGACAGTTTAACGACCATGGAGCATATATTTTTAAGATTAGAACGTTGAAATTGCTGCTTTTGTCATTTTTAATCACTTTATTTACATCCGTGTGGCATTTTCACAACTAGTATCTCTCAGATCACGAGCCCGCCATAATCCAGAGCGAGCAACTCCCATAATCGGAGGTAGAAGCGGAATCATTTGAATCTTAATATTCATGATTCCTTTAGTTTTTGCCTCAGTGATTCATGATTCCTACAAGAATTCAGATTCATGATTCACGAAGACTTCTGATCACCTATTGACTTAATTGGTGTTCAAACTTCTGCTTCATTCAGACTTGGTATCATCATTCGTTTTGTCTTGGCATGGAGTTTTTTTGTAACTGAACATTAAGCACAAGGTTACTGGAGAAACAAGCGGACTGTCAGTCCTGAAAGCACGAATTATATAGGGTGGTGCGGTGGCATCTTCCCCCACAAAAAAATTTTTGAAAATTGGACTCTCGTAAACGCCATATCCTGCATTCCCTGAATCGAACGCAATTAATTCATACGTGTATTTTGTTGAGCTTTTCTCAGAGTCTCGTTATTCATGATTCCGGAGCCGAAGTATAAAGATTCATGATTCCCAAGTTTTTAAAACAAGGATTCATGATTCTTACATGTTTTGTAACCATGATTCATGACTCATGATTCCACTTCCACCCCCGACCATAAAGACTCCATAAGTTGGCCTATGCCACGACGTTTTCACTGAGTGGTTTACTTTTCTTAGATACATTTTAGAGCACTTTCGTATTCTTTCAACTAATCTTTTGTGTTTGACTCAGAAAGAAGTTAATGTTAAGCTATTAGCGCAGGTCACTGAAGATTGTTCCTGTTTGACACGATCGCGACTGACTTGCCGTGAAATTTATGAGGTGTTATTGATGGTACCGTCCAATGTTAATTTCGTTTCGTGCACTCGTCATGCTACATGCACAGCAATAGCGCAGCAACTTAAACTTTTCTTACTAAACTACGGTTAAACAACTAATTTTTTTATATTTAGCTTTATTTAACACTGATGAGTATTTAAAAACACCTAGGCCTCGGGGTGTTACATTTAAACTTAAACTTAAAATCATTCTTTAAACTACTCTTGTCCGAGTACGAGATCTTAATTAGGTTATGCGCAGAGCAATTTAAATTTAAGAAAGAACTGATAACACCGTGAAAAAAAAAGTATGCAAGTGGCTGGCTGAAGATTCATATGGAGCTCAAACTATACCTTTAATTTCAACCCGCTGTTAGTCACCCTTGAAATTTAATGATCTTATTTAAAATTTAAAAATACACGTATACAATAACTTAGGACAAATAAACCGACGAAAGAACAACAGGCGACAAGTGAATTCGGAAAGTGACTGCCGTTAAGAACTGTCGGCTTTAAGGTTTGCTTACAAAAGGGAGCCATATCGTGGCATCAGTTATGTACAATGTGTACTTTCCCTACGAACGTAGTAAATAATGCGGAAATTTTAATTTGTTGTTCTTTAATTTAAATACGAGGATTTTGTAGGATATGCTCAATCGCTGTGTTACTCACACGTTTCCCTACTGACTAAATGATAAGCTTTCTTAATTTCTTTGAGCTGTTATTTCTTCCCTGTCTCTGGGTTGAAAAACATCTAATTTCTAAGAGGAATTGGTAGGAAATTTTAAGTAGTAGTGATGTGATTATTATTCACACATCATCGGTCACACTGAAAGCCTTTTAAAACATCCTCGAACGGCTCGACTTTATCAGTGACGCTAAAAGGGTGGGGGACAGTTACAAAACAAAACTTACATTTTGCTTCGGAGTCCACTTTGTTCCCATTTGGTGGGACTTTGGGCGCCATAGTCTTTCAGTCGAAATAATCACCCAGGTCACGATTAAGATTTAAATGCAAAGTCTGCATAAATTTAAAGGGTCAACACAAACCCTGATGACCAATCCTTGTAGCGGCATTGTTCAGAGCTCAATGCTCATTTCACACATTCCGCGTCGCCTTAATTTCTTCCAGATCTCTTTTATGAATTGTCAAAGTGAGAGAAATGGCATTTTTAATCATTTTATTTTGCTATGCTTTATTAAATAGCTATCATCGGGGGGAGGTTTAAGAAGTTTTGTTAGCCATAAATTGTTTCCCTAGTAACATAATCCTGAGAAGGAAAAAAAAAACTATGAATTTAATTATAACAACTGATTTCCACCATTGTAAGGCTTTTCTTTTCGTCTATTACCAAGGGCGTAGCTACCTGAACACTAAGCTAGTTGACAAGTGCGCATCTGAAAATATCTCGAAGATACAATAAATGAAAATAAGGCAAAAACAAAAGATGACTAAACCAAGCGATGGCTAAAAACGGTGCAATTGTTTTTTAAGGTAACTCGGCTTTAAAGTTTTTCAGATATTTTTTTAAAGAAAATGCGGTGTTTTTTTCCCGGTGTCGCCAGTGCAGTAACTGATGAGACACATGAAGGCTTAACCACCAACGACGGCGACGACTACGAAGACGTGACTATTAAAATTGAATTCGCCCTGCTGCAAACTTTATTGTGCTCATTCTATCTCTTTCAATTCAAATGTTGTAAAACATTTTGGCAGTTAAAATCTAATGGACTGTATCAAAGTTCAGGAAAAGGAAAAGAAAATTGTCTTGCGTTCACGTCCTCCACAAAACGTGAAATTAGACATTTTCATTTCGTAGTCATGCAGTTACGGCAAAGAAATGTAGAAAAAAGCGTGATACACGTGCAAAGTTGCTGTTTTTGAAACCTACTGCTTTTTTGCCTTTCTCGTTGCCGTCGCCGTCGACGATGTTAAAGCTCAAGTTTCTAGCCTGTTCCAGGTGTTCAGATAGTAGAGCGCGGGAGAAAAATTCACGAAGAAAAAAAAACGAGAGGAGACATTTTCCCGGTTTACAACTTAACTCGCTCCCCACTTACCTTCGCGCTCTACTATCTGAACGACTGGAACAGGCTATCAAGTTTCTTGCTCGCCAAGCCTTCGTGCAGTAAAAATGGAAGTACTGGGCCTACGCAGGGAGCTGGGATGGCCTGGGTTTTACCCGTTATCACCATTAATTAAACCGGTGTTTTTTTGTGATACCGTCTTGCAATCTTACAAAGTTCTGATTTGCAAGTCGCCAGGTTTGTTGATGTAAGGATGAATTGATTTTTACCGATAAAAATTGAAATTCGAAGTTTTCATTCTTCCTCCTTCTGTCATCCGGCTTAGAAGCTACTAGTGGACTGCGGAAGAAAACAAAAGCAACTCTTTCCCTGTCCTTCTTAGAGTAGTAAATACCCGCTCCACAAAAATGACAGAAGAACGCCAAGAACCAACTCTAGGTACTCGATAAAGAGAGTGAACAGTAGGACAAGCATAGCAATTAAGTTTTTATTTTTCATTCGGTAACAATAGAGGCCCTGGAAACGAGGTGGGCTTCTTATGCTGCCACACTGTTCAGGTTACTGTGTATAATAGTCCACTAACAATATACAAAATGACAACTTTGACATGTTTTCCTGTCACTTGGGCTTTAACTTGAAATGCCTGTCCCATCTTTTTACATTATACAAGCGGCAATGGCTTGCATAGTGCAAAGCAGTCACATGTAACAGAGACAGATAATACCACTTTTATTTTTTTAAAGGTTTTCCCTTCTCCTTAAGTCCACAGTTGTCTACATCCACGATTATGTCGCATGTGTTTTCAACGACGCTAATGATGACCTTGTCTCAGTTTACGTTTCATACACAGCTTGTAGAGGCTTTCGACACACTGACCAAAGCTGGCCAGTTACATCGCAGCAAAGCCCACAACCGCAGTGTACACGATGCTACAGTGACGAACAAATAATCGCACCAGTCTACCCTCGTTTATGAGGAGTGCCGCCAAATTAGAAGCCTGGGCTACTATAGCCAACAAGTTGATTCCTTTCTGTTCATTCTATTTCATGATCCGATACTGTAGTAGCAGGTCTCCTCCGCCTTTCCAAATAAAATGCCGGACTGTTCGCAAATCCATGTTTGGATCTAATACCTGGTATAAAGAAAGAAAAAATGCAGCTAAACCTGACAACAATACAGAGTGTAGGTATATTAAGGAGAGGTAAACAGGAGGAAAAGCATAGCCGAGTGAAGACATTTTTAGATTACAAAAAAATAGCCTGCGAACGCAGACGTATTTCGGGTCTTCGCTTCTCTCTATCCGAAAAGTAACGTCTGTGAACCCGAGCTACTGGCTTTTTGGGTGGAAAAAAGTGACGAACAGATACACGTCTGGGTTCGAAGGCTAACAAAAGGGTGGATCAAGAAATAAACCAATGAAATCTCTTAAATTTTGATGAGTTGATAAATTAAGAAATTGACTGATTGACTTACTAACTGAATAAACGAAAGAACGAACAAACGAACAACTGAATAGCAGTATATCTCTATTTACTAGGATAACAAATTACCTAAAACAAAGACATTGCAATTTAATTGATATAAAAGTGAGCGAGTGAGTGGCTTAGTGACTTACTGGGTTGTGACGGATTGATTTCCTGAAATAAAGATATGATAATAATATGTCTGGCTGACTTGAACAATTCATCACTGAGAGACTTTGATCTACCGACCGTTTGAATGACTATAAGTCATTCAAGTCAGCATGCACGGGTCTGTCTGATTACGTTACTTACGTACTAATACGGAATCTTCAAGACCTTCAAAAACCCACCTGTTCATGACACAGCAGCTCGACCCGGGCCTCAGCTAATGCGCCTAACTCCTCCAGTTGTTGCTCGGTTGGTGGCCCGGCCTGCTCTTTATCGGCCTGGTTACCTGAGTTATTGCTATTATCATTTCCTATCACCTTCTCATACACGTGCTCAATCACTTTTCGCACGTGAAGCATATCACTGGCTGACAGCCGATCCCTGAAAACACAGTTCACTAACTTTAGCATAAATGCTGTTTCCTGGCTCCTCAATGGATCAACCAACAATGAAGAGATGACTACAAAATGAGTTTATTTAGATTAAACACAGTCAGGCCACAGCGTGAAAATAAAAAGATTAACAACCATGTTAACCCTGTCGGGGTTTATCTCTCACAAGCTATGAAACTGGTTTCCAGTACATTAATAACAATGGTCAAGAAAAATACAGTTAAAAGGTAAAACAACTAAGATAAGACGAATAAGACAGACAATAAGGAAGTTACTAGGCGTCAAGTACAAAGTATATCAGATAGGATAAGAAAGGGTAATATAACTGGTATCACGACATATATGAATGATATATGATAAGTCAAATTTATCGGTGCAGATAACGTAATTCAGACGATGAAAGAGGCAAATATGAGGTGAGAGATTTGAGATTAGTTAAACAGGTTATACGAAAGCTACCAGGTTGATTTAAAGGGTTTGCTAGAGGGGAATATTGAAGTGTATCAGTATAAGATTCTGCCCCCACTCCCCTAACCCAATATTCTGCCCTGAGTGAGTGTGAGTAGGGTAATTTTATATTGGGTAAGGGAAAAGGGAGGTGGGCAGTTTCCCACAATCCTGTGCTGATCCATTTCGGATGTAGGGTATATCTAATTAGTTATTAACCTGGACGAGACAACAGGCCCTTTGCGGCTAGCCATTCACGTGGTACAAAACCGCCATGCTGGAGAGCAAAAGTCGCACTTGGCCAAGACAAACAGAGGAAACTATCATTTAAAATTATGTATGCCTTTTGTTTGTCTTGTCCCATGGCAGTTTTGTACCACGTGAATGGCTAGCTGCAAAGGGCCTATAACGAGTGAACTTAGGTTATATTCACACTATACTGTATAGCTTTTGCGCCGGCGCGAAAACCATATCGGATAGAGCTTCTGTTTACACATTAGAACGGTGATTTTGGCGCGATTTTTGTAACGGAGCGAAGCTGCGCCTGCGCCGATCTCTCAAGTGAAGAGTCAGATGTCGGATAGGTGTTCAAAGTATTAATATCAAGCTTTACCTCTTTAACGCTTTGGAAGAACTTGAAGAGTGCGGTGACAAGAAAAATGCAATCTTGTTAAATTTAGGCATCAGTTTCTGTGGAAAAATAACACAGTGTACAATGTCATCAGAGGGATAATATTTAGAGGGGAACAGTGAAATGATAGGTTAATACATGTAACAACCTTTCTATTGAGGCCTATAAGCTGAGCAAATTAATTTGTCTCAGTTGTACCTTTTTAATCTTGTTTCTAACACCAACCCCGGTTAAATCTCCTGGGACACTAACGCATTAGCTTCGTCAATACGACGCACTTTCCCTACCCTCTCCCCCTGGTGCAGTGTTGACGTTAAGCAAGTCTATGTCAACACAATCAACACTGCTTGGGGGAAAGGGGACAGTAGAAATAAGCTCTTATAACAACATTCCCCAGCTTTTATAAGAACCAGAATACGAGTTAACTTTGCAAAGTGT